CCTTCCATCCTTCCGAGGTGGGTGAAATGAGGACCCAGACTCTGGGGGTGATATGCTGACTCTGTAAACCGCTTAGAGAGGGCTGAAAGCCCTATGAAGCAGTATATAAGTCTGCTATTGCTATTGCTAAAACCAGGTAGGCATGTTTGCCTATTTAGGATTTGCAGGAAATGTTCAGCTTTTCATGCTATAGATATCAGAAAAAAAGTGATGCTGAAAGAAAGAACTTTTAATTTGTTGAATAAAATTTTCCTTAAAGGCATTCAGCTATTTTTAAAAATCCCTCTTTCTGTTTGTTTTTATCACCATAGATTGTCAATATGGCAAGATTTGATATGTTTAAATGTATTTGACATTGGAAATGTAAATGTTCCTTTTCCAGTTTTATTTGCCTTGCAATGAAAAATAGCTTCTATAATGGATGAAATCATAAGATTATAATGTGCAATTAATTTTTATGAGTCATAGTCTTTAGTAAGTGGTAGAATTTTTTTTTGGGGGGGGGGTGTTTTTGTTAGATGAAAGATAGATATAGCAGTTTGAACAAGAGTCCCTACCAGAGGCTCATCTAGGCTGTTGGACTAATGCTTTATTTATTAATATTCATGAGCCATCTCATTTAGCTGGTGCTCTTGGGACTTGATTAAAGTAAGACTGTTATACTAGCTTCTGAAACTGGAAAGAGTGCTCTGGGTGACACAGCTAGTATGACAGAAATATGTGGAGCCATCTCTGTAAGACTGTTAGAATTTCTTCCGGTTAAAGTTGTACTATACTGCCGCATTTCAGAATGATATGATGGAATGAATTTCTACACGTCTGGCTTATCCTTTTAATGCATTTTTTGGATTTGTTTCTTAAGGTCTGAAAAAAGAAATGACCATGTAGATGCCAACTGCCCGGATCCAGCATAATGGGAAAGAGTGAATGGAGTGCAATTGGACTGCAATCTTGAAAACAGCCATCTTGTGGACTATCACCTGGTGGGAGACATTTCTATCACTCATTGCTTACTCTGCTCATGTTACTGTTCACATAAAGTGGATTTGTTCTTAGGCTGGAATTTGAGTTTCTATCTTTACAAATTTTTAATTTGTACATAGCACACTGAACAGAGCAATATTATCAGCAGCAATGGGTGACATGACCAACAGCGATTTTTATTCAAAGAACCAAAGAAATGAGGCCAATCATGCAGGAGAATTTGGGTGTACGCTTCAGGATCTGCGTTCTCTTATGGAACTTCGAGGAACGGAAGCAGTGGTTAAAATTAAAGAGACGTACGGGGACACAGAAGGCCTCTGTAGACACTTGAATACTTCGCCAATAGAAGGTAAGCGATATTAATGTTTTTCTTTTCTAAATTAGCCCCAGAGGTTTGGCATCATGGTATGGTACTATGTCTTTTTAATCCTCCTTAAGAGAAATTCATGAAATAGATTTTGAGATGCCGTGTGTGGCGTGCCTACATTGGAAAAGAAAATTGCAAAGAGGAGAAACTTCAACAAAGGGATTGCAGCACAGCAAGACAACTCACTGTTAAAATTTCTGCAGTGTGAAAATACAAAAATAGTACTGCTCTTGAAATTTATTAAAAATGCTAATTTGATTTTTTAGAGGATATCTATATCTATATATCTATATCTATATCTATATCTATATCTATATCTATATCTATATCTATATCTATATCTATATCTATATCTAT